GGTATTGATATTATCCATGGAATTTGATTTCTGGGATAACTGAATTTTTACTTTGGGTCCTGGTGTTTTGTATAGCTGATGCATTTTAAATTATGCTGTTCAATTAAATGAGTTTATCAGTTGGTCCCATGTTTAAGTATAGAGTGATGTATACTAATGTTTTAGAAAGAACTGGCCCCCTGGACTCTAAATCTCATAGCCACTAGTGCATATGACCTATGGCACTTGGTGCTGCAGCTGCTCTGTCTCTTTGCTATCACGCATTGACTGCTGCTCTGTAGCGCATGTGGATTTATTGCTATAGCTCAAATCCAACAGTTCCTCAAGGGAAGTAGCTTACTTATCTTCATTTTGCATAACCTGCTTGAGTAGGTTATGCCCTCTGGTTTTCAGTCTGCAGAGCTCCTAACTTCCACTGTGCTCACTTTAGCAGATGCTCAATTTTTCAAAGACTTTAGCGACATAAAGTTTCATCCAGAGCCAAGACATCAAGCTTTAACTTTGCTTTGAATAATTTTCAGGTGTATTCTACCTAAAGAAAACTAATCTTTTTAAAAAAAATAAAACAAAACATCTTATAAATCAAAATTAGGGCACTAATTTTCTAAAGATCCAGGTTATTTTTCCCTAAATTACTCTTGTGAGGATGGTGTTTTTCTAGTGAGTTTAATTGCTGGCTCAAAGACAATAGGTGAATAAGTTAACCCCAATTGTTTTCATCTCTAGAAGTATCTAATGATATCCATGTTGTAATGTAACCCAACAGCTGGACTTTAGTTAATGTTTCATAGTAGTGAATTTGTGGTACTTTTCAAACACTACCTTTCCTCAGCAAAGCTCATCTTGTTCTTCCTCAGATGGAAGGATTTGCTGTCTTCCAGAGTTTTCCCAACATTTAGACAAATGCTGGTGTCTGTAAGAGCCTAGCTGTTTTTTCTCTTCATCCTACCCATCCTGGGGAAAGAAACTACTGTGGTGCTTAGAAGTTGATCTGGAGTTATCTGTCATACCTAATAAAGTAGCCAGATGGATCTTTGGAAAGGCTCTTCCTTATTACATCTTGGAAAATTAAGTGCAGCCATTTTATTCAGGGGAGGGGGAGCAGGGGGGAGGAGGCTTTTATATGAATATATGTATAACATCAGCCAGTTCCCTTTTTCTTTAGTTGCAAAAGCATCTGTTTCAGTCAAGATACTCTGAGCCACAAAGTGAAGATTGAAAACGAAAAAAAAAAAATCACATATGAAATCCTGTTTATTCCTCTTTTACAGTTGATATAATTTCACAAACTTAAAACATTTTTACTTAGTTACTATAGAATATACAAATTATGAAATAAATTATTATTTCTTACTGGCATATTGGAATTCTGAGCAATCATATTCTAGCAGCATTTGATGAGTAGATCTTTAGACTGTTTTGAGAAAGCACAATCAACATCTTACTTTTGACCACTCTCTTAGTTCTCTTTGTCTCACACTGACACATTAACCAGATCTTTAAAATTCTGCTTTTTTATATTGCAGACTTTTATAGTAGCAGTTGTTCTGTGTGAATGAAGTTCCCAGAAAAATCTTGCATCTTGGGCTGAACTTCTGCAAGGCTGATCAGTTGATTAGCATTTCAGTGACTATGGAGAGTTTGGAGTGTTGCAGATCCAGGACCTATTTATAATATATCTTAGGCCATCTTTAGCCCCTAAATAGCCACTCCTTGCCCACCTCTGTTTCTGACTTAACATCTCATGACTAACAGATTAAAAACCTTTAGGAATATATTAACGTAACAAAGCCGTAGCTCCCATCAGCCAAAAGACTAAGAATGTCATCAGATAGCATCTGAGGCCTATAGCAGAATTCTCCCCACTTTGCTGTGACCCACCTACTGAATGTACCCACCAATGTTGATTTATGGCTTTATTTGTTCTGTTACTATAAAAGGTTCCTGAAATTGCTACCTCATTGGAGCATGGTATTTGGGGAAACCTAAATCTGTGTTCTCTGGCTATGGTCACTCATATTTGGCTCCAGAATAAACCATTGCTTTCATTCCTCTGAAATGAAAGCTCTTTCTTTTGTAGTATAAGAAGATGATAATAGCATGGTGCTAAGAAAATTTGGCACTTTTCCTTTCTGTTGTAAACTGTAAGAATTTTAAAATGTTATTTTTAAATTAGATTCGTGAAATGCCAGAAGACAGTAATTTGTTTTGATACATGGCTTCATATATGAATCCAATTATATAAACACCTTGATTTCCACAATATTCCCAATAAACTTTTAAAAATTAATTTTTTAGATGTGTGTGTACATGTACACAAATGCATTCCGATGCCTGAGGAGACCAGAAAAGGGTCAAGATCCCCTGGAGCTGGAGGTACAGGTGATTGTAAGCTGCCTGATGTGAGTGCTAGGAACCGAACTCTGGAAGAGCAACAAGTGCTCTTAACCACCAAGCCATCTCTCCAGCCCCCCATTTTAAACATTTTAAAGCACCATTTTCCTCAGCTTCTTAAAAATTGCAGATTTTAGCATGTCACTGACAGCAAGGCAAACAAAAAGAGTGGGGGGGATGAATTACTGCTTTTAATTCAAACATAAAGAATCTTCAGTTTTAAATTTGGATCAGGGCTGGGATTCTAGCACATGGATTCTGGGGGTCAAATTCTAGTACCAAAAAGGGGAGGGAGTCATAACTTAAATATAATTTCTTCTGTCCTTGGATGTGTTTATTTAATAGGATTTTGAACTCATAATTTGTATATAAGCTTTTTGTTCTCCCAACATGAGTGTGTATGTATGTTTATTGTTTGTCTTGTGGCTTTTTTTTTATATTTCCTCTTTATTCATTTGGCACTTGGCCATAAGAATATGACGTTATCTATACCACTCACTGTCCTGCGTTGTCCGATCCAGTAGGCACCAGCTAGCACTTGAAAGGGGCTAGTTGGAATGAGATAGCTGTACTAACACTTAGAGTTCTCCGATAACCTTTATATAAATTGCATGTTGAAATGGTAGCATTTTATATATCATATTTTATATTACATATTATTTTTTATATCCTACTGGAGTTCTTCAGTGAAGGAAAAATGGTTACCCATTGAATTCTTGCCATGAGAAAGTGGGGTTGTTGCTGGTAATGCTTTTGTTTTGTCCTCCTAAGTCCTAAGCTCATAGAGAACAGTTATGGCACACTGTGCTTCAGCTTGTTTCTGGCTTTGAGGCTTCTGTTTGATGGCTAAGAATTTAAAATGCAAACCAGAGTATTACTTGTTTTTCTTTGATGTTGTATTTCTATTAGATTCCGTTATATTTAAATGATGGTGAAATTAGCTTTAACTTGCATATACTCAAATGGATAAAGAGGCCAGACAAGTAAGAAGAATGTATTTACCCTATGTAGACAGTGTGGAATGGTCAGTATACTATGTAAGCCTTGTGGGAATATGCAGACTTGTGCAGCTTGATTTTTTTTTTTTCAACTTTCTTAGTGCACTAACAATTTAGAGTTTTATGAATGTTAAGTCTCCCTTTGCGTGGGTGTGGGTGTGGGTGTATAGGTGTAGTGCTGGAGCTAGATAAGTGTCTGGAGGAAGCCCAGCACCCAGCCAGGCTTTTTGCAGCCACCACTCAGAATTGCTTTTGATCATCTGGACTGTGCCCCCACCCTCTTCATTCTGACCTAAATCCCCCCTCTGAGGGGGGCCAAATTCTATCATATTTTAGGAAGTTTTTCAAATCAGTTACTAATAGGAGTCTAGAGGTATGGTTGTACATTCCTGTTATTCCAGGACTCTGGAGGCAGAGGCAGGAGGATCAAGAGGAGGCCTGCATGGCATGAACTATATCATGAGACCCTGTTTCAGAAAAAGAATAGTAGTCATGTTCTTTCTGTAAAAGCTGGGAAAGGGCCAGTTGCCTGTAAAGCCCAGCTCTGAGGGTGGCAGAGACAGGAGACTCCTGAGGCTTGCTGACTTCCAGCCTAGCCAAGAAAACACACAGAGTGGGAGGACACCCAGCACCCTTGCCTGGCCTCCCCACACATGCCCAGGTGTGCACACAAAATTACACACAAAAATAAATCTTTTTAAAAACTTGAAGGAAAAGAGGACAACACTTTATATTATTCATTTACTCAGAAGAGCTCCATGGAGTAATCTTTGTATTAAGGACCTGTGTTGAAGTACAGTGTTGAAATGAACATTTCAGGGGCTGGAGAGATGGCTCAGCAGTTAAGAACACTGCTTATTCTTGGAGAAGACCCAGGTTAGAATCCCAGCACCCAAATGGCAGCTAACAACTGTCCGTAACTCCAGTTCCAGGGGATCCGACAGCCTCTCTGTCCTCCATGGGCATTGCACGACACGGGTACACTTACCTACATGCAGGCAATACACTCATACACATAAAATAAAAGTAGTAAATAAAATATTTTTTTAAAAAAGAAATGAACATTTCAGGTTCCTTTATCAAGCCAGCAATTAACTGTTACCTCTGCTGCATGGAAGCCAAAATGCTCTATCTTAAACACAAGTATATCATGTGAACTGAGCGATGGACACAGAAAAATAGTAGGAACCAATATAATTGAAATTATGACCCCTCCCGTGAGCCTGGAACTACAAAAAATAGTTTTTATGTGCTGTATTTTAGATAGATTTTCCACACTGTGGCAATCCTGATTCATGGGACTTAATTTTTAGTATTAAAATAGTTAAGCTCTACCAGGTGTGGTGGTACATTAAACCTAGCATTTGGGAGGCTGAGGCAGCATGGTGGAAAAGAACTGACCCCCACAACTTGTCCTCTGACCTCCACAGGCCCACCATCACATGAGTGTGCCCTTCCCAACACTAAATGTAATAAAAAAAAAATTTTTTTTTAGGAATTTAAAATCTGGGAGTACATTTAAAAATGAGAAAATTAGGTATTACTAAGTATAGATATTATGTGTTGTGACACTAATATATTATTTTTTCCTTTAATTTCTCACTTAAGGTCTCAGCCAGTTTCCTCTCCAGTCATCCTGCAGTTTGGTCATGCAGAGACCCTTCTTCCACTGCTCTCTCTCATGGGCTACTTCAAAGACAAGGAGCCCCTGACAGCTTATAATTACAAGGAGCAAGTCCATCGGAAGTTCCGAAGCGGCCACATCGTACCTTATGCCTCAAACCTAATATTTGTGCTTTACCATTGTGAAGATGCAAAGACGCCTAAAGAAGAATTCCAAGTGCAGATGCTGCTGAATGAAAAAGTGTTACCCTTGGCTCACTCACAAGGGACCGTTGCTTTGTATGAGGATGTGAAGAGCCACTACAAGGACATTCTTCTGAGCTGTCATACCAGTGAAGAGTGTGAGCTACCAAAGGTGAACATCACATCTGATGAGCTCTGAGGAGCCAGAGAACATTCTTAGTTCTGAAGTGCTTTCCTGTAGGGGTGCTTGTGTTTGTAATAGGTCACTGACTTCTTAATTAACAAAGTTTTCAAGGCTAACACCTTTAATCTCAGCACACGGGAGGCACAGGTGGATGGATCTCTGTGAGTTCCATGCCAGCTTTGTCTACATAATGCGATAGTTCCAGACTATGTAGTGAGCCCTTACCTCAAAAGAAGGAAGAACAGGAGGGATGGAGGAACTGAGGGACGGAGAGAGGGAAGGAAGAAGGAAAGCTTTCAAATTACTTGGCATTTCTACCTTTTTACAGAGAATCATGGAGTTTCTTTTGGGGTCTGGGCACAGTAGGTAAGAAATGATTCTTTACAAGAACAGCTCTCTTGAGAAAAAACAATCTATTCAAAGAAACAGCGGGCACTGCAAATGTTTCCAGAAATGAAAGAGGTTTCTTAACTTATATAAGAAACCTCACTGAGGTAAAATATAATTTGAGAATGAAACTTGAAAAGTGCTAGATTAAATCTGTAATTTGACTTAATAAATGGAGGACCTTTACCAGCATGCTGAAGTCCTTTTTCCTGCAGGTGAAACACTTTTAGTATAGATTAATATTGCTTAGTCATAAATATTGTGATAAAGTGGGAGTATAAGTTGAGAAGAAAGTCCAAGTCTAATATCTGCCTAAAGGAAAGTTTGATCCAGCACTGCAAAGTGTGCTGCAGCAGGACAGAGTAGGATGAGTTCTCTCTGTTAATATTCTTATAAATAAGCACTTTCAGTAATTTCCATTAACCTCCATCTAAGTCTCCAAAGACCATCCTAATTCTCATGACCTGTTTTACGTGTGTAATGATGAAAGGACAAACTAAAGTTTCTTATATCTGTTACCTAGTTGACTTTTCATTCTGTCAGTGGGCTTCCATTTTTCTATTTTATTACACAGTGTGTCTTTTGGTGGTTTGAATTTTTTTCTTTTTTTAAATAAAGACTTCATTTTGGCTGATTGTAGTTTTATGGATCTGAACCTGTTTCAGAAAAATTCTGAGGTCTATCAAATGCCATGAAAGTATTTGCTACAATAAACAAAATTCTTATGACTTTATTACCAAGTCATTTCTGTTCTCCTTGCTGAAATTCAATCAGTAATTGATAGTAAAAAGTTGGGGTTTCACATGTATTTAACTTGGCTAGGAAAGCTACAATTTTCCTCTTCCTCCTAGTTTTTCCGTAAATGGTTTTTTTTTTTTTTTTTTTTTTTTTGTCTTTTTGAGACAGGGTCTCCTTGTAGCCCCAGCTGTCCTGGAACTCATGATGTAGACCAGGCTGGCCTCGAACTTACAAAGATCCGCCTGCCTCTGCCTCTCAAGTGCTTGGATTAAAGGTGTGCACCACCATGCTGGGCCTGTAAATGGCTTTTTTAAATGCATTTTTTTTTTAACAAGTTTTAGTCACTGTTAAAGATAATGCCTTTCAAAAGGAGGGTTGGGATTTTTGTTGAAAATGTATGGTTAGTCTTAAACCATATGCAGTCATATCACAATTTAGTATAAGCTGCTGCATTCGTTTTTAACACTTTGCTTTTGAGGAGAGGTGCCATATAAATAAAAATTTATATTAATGTTAATGCACGCATCTGTATAAATCGTCATATGTAATGTTCATTAGGACATTTTCAGCCAAATTTCCATTGATAAAAATGGAAAAATCCTTCTTAGGTCCTAAAGAAAAGCTAAAATGCAATCTTTTAGTACCAACAGTTAAAATGCTTCCTGATTAATTAGATAACTTTTTTGGTCACTGAAGCTATACATTAATTTAAGGACATGATTAAAATATTTTAATTCTCTCTTTTGGCAGTAAAACCTCGGGCTGGTAAAGTGACTCAGTGGGTAAAGGTACTGCAAAGCCTGAAGCCACGAGTCCGATAGAAGTAGAGGACTGACTCTCACAAGTTGTCCTCTGAACTTCACGGGTGTACTATCACACACACACACACACACACACAGACACACACACACACACTAAATGTAAAATTTTAGAAAAACATATATACTAGAGGCACCCTTCTAATCATATTAATCACTGGATTATGTAACATTGTGAATACCTTTTTGGATTTTCTAAGATTAAAAAAGTAGCACTCATTGACTAAAAAACATTCCAGGGACTGGAGAGATGGCCCAACAGTTAAGAGCACTGGCTGCTCTTACAGAGGCCCAGATTCAATTTCCAGCATCCACTTGGCAGCTAACAACTGTCTGTAACTGCAGTTCCAGAGGAATCCAGTGCTCTCTTCTGACCCCCTCAGGCATTGCACAACATGGATGTACTTACATACGTGCAGGCAGTACATTCATACACGTAAAAGAAATACATAAATAAAATGTTTTAAATATAAAAAAAGAAGCCAACACCAGGGGTTGAGGGAGCTTTAAATATGGTGTCTGTGCTATGAAGTATGGCATTCAGATACTAAATTATTCCAGAATGGCAAGTATTCAGAAAAGGACATTGTGGAGGTTAATGAGCACTTGGGTAACTTGACCACATTTGGAATCAACTAAGACACATGCCTTCTGGTGGGTCTAGGAGGGCATTTCCAGGAAGATTAACTTAGGGAAGAAGACCCTCCCTCAGAATGGTCGGCATCGTCTGGCAGGTCCAGGTACAAAGAGTTTTGTGCTCCCTGCCTGCTTCTACTTCTTGCTGGCGAGTATGTCTCTTTCTGTTGTTGCTGTGGCTGTTGCCATACTTTGCTGATAGCAGGCTCCAGCCTCTTTGGACCTCCAACATGGACTGAAGACCAGGGACTCTCTTCTGGGCCTTTAGCACCAGATTGGCACTACTGAAGCATCGGTTTTATGGACTGAGCAGCTACCAGGTTCTAAGCCTCTCCAATGTGCAACAGTCATGGGTTACCCAACCCCTAATGGTTATAAGCCATTTTGGTATTATAATATATAGACATTTATAATGTATAGACATTTTGTTCCTCTGGAGAGCCCTGCCCAATACAGATATGATGTAGGTGCATGTGCATATTCTTCCCAGAACACAAATTCTACAAAGAAGATACTATAGATGCTACAAAGAAAGGATCCTGGCTTCAAAACTACCTTAGGATTCTCTCTTTGAGAAATGTCCCAGGCTTTTAATACACTTGCTATGTGTTGCAACAAGGAGGCATTAGAAGCAGCTTTCTGTCTCATTTGACCTGAAAGCTTTTTCAAGAAGAGCCTCCTATGACTATTCTAAGTGAGAATATATTTGAGAAATTGCAGTGAACCTTGCCATTTGGGTTTTTTCAGATGAGATAATGATGACATTATTCAGATGGTAAATGGAATTAAATACAAGTGCAAAAAAAATTGTACTTGTTTGTAGATTAGAGCAAATTATTGAAGTCATTGGTTTTAAATGAACACTTCCTAAAGCAGGTAGTCAGCTTGTCACAGTAAATGCTGATGATGAATTGGTACTTTCACTGACATACTTCTGCAAAAGTCTGGATATAAAATTTTTAAATACGTATATGAGACAGCAAAGTAATGAACACTCATACCCATCTGTACCATACCAAAATGAGCATTGTAACATGTTTTAGATCCAAATAGAAGGGCAGTTTAGAGAACTCGTATGCCTCCCTGATCCTTTTTCCTTCATTGACTCTTAGCATACTCACATGCCAATAACTCTGAAAACTAGTGAGTTTAAAATTGTTCCATAAAAGGATTTAGAGTTTGTGTATTATTCTTGAATGAGTTATTTAACTGCTATGAATTTTTCCCCCTGAGGCTTGATCCTGATCTTTGTTGCAAATCAGTATTTTTATTTTTTACAATTTGTGTGTGTGTGGATGTGTGTGGATGTGTGTGTGTGTGTGTGTATGTGTGTGTGTGTGTGTGGATGTGTGTGTGTGTGTGGATGTGTGTGTGTGTGTGTGGATGTTTGCCATGTGTGGGTACAGTGCTCACAGAGGCAGGTAGATCTCTAGGAGTTTAAGCCCAGCCAGATCTAAATAGGACTAATTGTAGTTAGTGGCTATGAAACCTGTTGACAGGAGGGCCATCTTAGTATAGCACAAGTTCCTGGACGAGGTGTATAAGTCTGTCACTAAAAGCCTATGTCTGAAAGTTCTACAGGTATTACAAATACGCAGCCATGTTGGGGAACCCCCAACCAGAAGCTCCATACCACAATTCTCTCTTTTTCCGTCTAGCAAATAGAACTATGTTTGGTGGATGTTCAAAATACTTTTAACTTAGAAGTATAACTTTGACAAGATGCAGAAATTTGGTGGAAAATTACTTCCTATAACACAATTGATTTTAGAGCCTGGTAAATTGTGTGTGTGCATGCGTGGGTGTGTGTGTGTGTGTGGATGTGTGTGTGGATGTGTGTGTGTGTGTGTGTGTGTGTGTGTGTGTGTTGACTCTATGAAGGTCAGAGGACAGACAACTCATGACAGTCAGTTCTCTCCTATTACCTGTGTCCTGGAGGTCCAACTCGGGTTGTCAGTCTTGACTGCAGGCACCTTTACCTGCTCAGCCATCTTGCCAGCCACAAATTAGTATTTTTAGTTCATCGTTACCTGTTCAGTGCTTTCTGTGTATAAACACTACATTTAGTCTGTGACCACATAAAGATGAATAAACCTGGCTCTTTTATCCAAGGGTTAAAAGACCCAAAACCTTAAAAACAAGTATACTTAGTGTCTCACAAAAACTGAATAACTTGATTCTTTGAGCGCTTTTTAAAATATCTAAGATTATGGCAGTTTTATAGTAATTGTGGAATTTCATTGTTCATTTTCAACTATATAATGATGTGTTGTGTAAGTATTTGAGGATAGAGGGTAAGTCATGACCATTTTTACTAATATTGGAAAAGTTGTATTATTCTGATGCTGTTATTTTCATTTAAGCAATTCCTAAAAATGAATAATCTCATAAAAATTACAATCTATAATATATGAAGAATTGAACATTGAAAAATAGTTTTTGGCTAAGAACATGTAGTTTTAGTGAACCTAAAATTTAATCCTGATTTTTTTGAAATCCTGTTAATTATATCTGTTGACATTAGCCATTAATCTACAACTTGTATATGCATTGTATGTAATGTGCTAGTTTTTCTGATTCTGTAATTATATTGAAGTTTCTGATTCCTGACACTCACTGGGGAGGAAGAGGGGGGGAGAGAGAGAGAGAGAGAGAGAGAGAGAGAGAGAGAGAGAGAGAGAGAATGAACATCTGATCTTAATTATAATACTGAAAGAAAAACTCAACATACAGAGAAAAAAGTGCTTGGTCTTTTCCAGGCATAATCAACTCTGAAGATTTCAGTGCTTTTCCTTCATGACTATAAAACCAACACTTGTCCTTCAAGATTTGGAGTTAAACAGCTGAGCCAGAGTATAAAGTAGAAACTTTGGAACACATTTCTCTAAGATGATGTTTCTGTGGTTCACTAATGATACTCAGAACTTGATTGCCTTTTGCCAAAGTAAATTGAAAATAAACATTGGTAATGCTATAGTTTTGCTGTATGTAGCTATTACCCTGAATGTATGTCATAGATCACTTAATTGTCTCTTAATGATTCTTCTGACTCAGGTCTTTTCTTCCAGACATCTGGTACCTATTTCAGTGGGAAGCATCCTCACACCAAATCTGTTGAGCTATATTCTATTCATAATGTGCTAGTAATACTTTTTGGTTTTTTGCCTTTTTGAGACAGGGTTTCCCTGCAGCCCCAGCTGTCCTGGAACTCACTATGTAGACCAGGCTGGCCTCGATCTCACAGAGCTCTCCCTCCTGAGTGCTGGGATTAAAGGCGTGTGCCACCATGCCTGGCTACGAGTCATACATTATGGGTATGAGGCAGTTCCACAGCAGGTTTGTCTTGTTCTTCATACCTGCCAACTTGAAGGTTAACCTTTTTTTGGTTGTTGTTTTTGTTTTGTTTTTGGCTTTTTGAGAGGGTATCACTGTGTAGCTCTGGCTGGCCTTGAACTCACAGAGATCCACCAGCTTTTGACTCCCAAGTGCTGGAATTAAAGGCTACCATTCCTGGCTTCAGGTTAACTTTTAAAACTGTTTT